AGCAACGGATGGAAACTAATCAAGGGGAGAAGCAACCGGGAACTAAGGAGGAATTTCTTGACTTTTTTCAATCAGTTGTTCTGACCCAAACCTGGTTCGAAGGAAACGAACACGAAATGGAGGTAACAGCAAAACCTTTTCATGATTCTTTACGAATTCCGTTCCTTCCCGGTTCAAAGGTTGTTTCAAACTAATTGCCTCTGATAAGAAGGAGCCTTGCCAAGGTTGGGCAAGGATGCCAAGAACACTAGATAAAGTTGCCAAGAAATAGTTCAAACACAAAGAGTCTCCAAACACAAACGAAGAGAGTCCGAACGCCCACGAGGCTTGAGTGCGAAAACTTCTTTGCTTCCTGCAAAGAATCCCGGTCTCTCAGGCTGGCTTTTATCCCTTAAGGGAGGGGCCATTACTTTGCAGCCTTACTCCCGAGTCGCCCCGTGCTGCTGCAGCTGCTCTTTCCTTCGAGCAGCCCTGCGTGCACGCGCCCTGGGCACAGGCTTCATGAGGACCTCTTCCTCACTGCTGCCAGCCTCCACCATCTCCAAAGGCAGCACTCCACTCCCTGATGGTCCTGGCCCCATCCCTGCATCCCACGCAGGCCCCTCATCTGAGTCCTCGCTCTCCGAGACCTCAGCCATCCGCATCTACTGCCGGCGAACCACAACATCAGTTGAACGGCTTGTCTCAAGAATTTATGGGTGCTCCATCACTGGAGGTTTTTAAGAAAAGACTGGACAATCACTTGTCTGAAATGGGGTAGGTAGGTTCTCTGTTTGAGCAAGGGGCTGGACTAGAAGATGTCCAAGGTCCCTTCCAGCTTGTTTGTTCGTTCATTCATTCATTCATTCAATCAATCAATCAAGGTAAGGTAAGGTGAGGTGAGGTGAGGTAAGGTAAGGTAAGGTAAGGTTAAAGTAAAGTAAAGTAAAGTAAAGTAAAGTAAAGTGTAAAGTAAAGTAAAGTAAAGTGTAAAGTAAAAAGTAAAGTAAAAAGTAAAGTAAAGTAAAAAGTAAAGTAAAAAGTAAAGTAAAGTAAAAAGTAAAGTAAAGTAAAAAGTAAAGTAAAGTAAAGCAATGTAAAAAGTAAAAAGTAAAGTAAAGTAAAGCAATGTAAAAAGTAAAGTAAAGTAAAAAGTAAAGTAAAAAGTAAAGTAAAGTAAAAAGTAAAGTAAAGCAATGTAAAAAGTAAAAAGTAAAGTAAAGTAAAAAGTAAAGTAAAGTAAAGCAATGTAAAAAGTAAAAAGTAAAGTAAAGTAAAGTGTAAAGTAAAGTAAAGTAAAGTGTAAAGTAAAAAGTAAAGTAAAGTGTAAAGCGTAAAGTAAAGTAAAAAGTAAAGTAAAGTGTAAAGTAAAAAGTAAAGTAAAGTAAAAAGTAAAGTAAAAAGTAAAGTAAAAAGTAAAGTAAAGTAAAAAGTAAAGTAAAGTAAAAAGTAAAGTAAAG